GGGGGGGGGGGGAGTGAGGAAGGCAGAGATTAGGAGGTTTGAGGGCAGAGGACAAGGAAGGGGTACAGAAGATTCTCAATAAATAAGCCAGGTGTGGCGTCTCTTATTTTAGGTCACAGTCCTAAATTGACCCAGGAAAAGACACCAATATCCCATCCAAAAGAAAAAAAGACTAAAGAAAAGAAGTGCTGGAAATATATCTCAAGTAATAGACAGCCTTTACCAAGCAAAACCAAGGTCCTGAGCTGTTAGTACCAGTAAAAAAATTGTTTAAGAATAAACATCATGTAATAGATAATTCACAGTTTGCATTCTTTCCAGTGAAATTTGCCAAACAAGCCAGACCCTCATGAATTTTGTGTATGTATTTCCAAAATGGATTACTTTTCATCTAACTTATTCATAATAAATCTGATGCTACTAAAGTCAGACTTAAAAAACATGCAGGGTGCTGGTGGCTCACACCTGCAATCCTAGCTACTCAGGAGGCTGAGATCTGAGGATCGAGGTTCAAAGCCAGCCCAGGCAGGAAACACGGTAAGACTCTTATCTACAAATATCCACCAGAAAACTGGAAGTGGCACTGTGGCTCAAGTGGTAGAGTGCTCACCTTGATCTGAAGAGTTCAGGGACAGCACCCAGGCCCAGAATTCAAGCCCCAGGACCGACCAAAAAAAAAAAAAAAAAAAGGCCCATAAGTAGGCCATAAAAGTCTACCTGGTGGTTAAAACATCAGCAACTGTACATTCAGTTGTGTCAATCAAGAAGTTACAGAGACTGAACTTACCCAGGTCAGAGGGAGAAGTATCTTTTATAAACCCAACCCTCAGGCAGGACCGGGAGGGAGTGCATTTTGGAGATGCAATTATTCTGCTACTACTATCTCTCTTCTGCTGCCCCTCCACTCTACTTCCATATTAGGGATCAAAACCAGGGATTCTCAAAAGCAACTTATTTTGTCCTCTACCACTAAGATACATCTGGACCCAAACTTTATTTTCTCCTAAGCTTACCAAAAAAAATGAGCTGGAGGTAGGGTGGATTCAGGGGTAAACTGCTTGCCTGGCACAACAGACTCTTGATTCAATCCCTAGTACTCCAACAAAAAACAAAGGGAGGTGGCAGTGGCTCAGGCCTGTAATCCTAGCTATTCAAGAGGCTGAGATCTGAGGATCATGGGTCAAAGCCAGCTGGGGCTGAAAAGTTCCTCCAATTAACCACAAGAAAACTGGAAGTGGCACTGTGGCTCGAAGTGGTAGAGCACGAGCCTTGAGCAAAAGTACAGGGCACAGGCCCTGAATTTAAGCTCCATGACAAAGAGAAGAGAGGAGGGGGAAAAAAAAGGGGGAGGGAGGGAGAACCTCAAAAATCTAACTAAAACAGAGGGATGATAATTTAAAAAAAAAAAGACAGGTTATGCTGAAATATCACATGAAAGCTATCTTGGTAACCATTACCAAACTAGTAGACAGCACAATCATAAATATTTGAGTACTGAAACAGACTCATAAAAATCTAAAATATTTCATGCTCTGGGCTTTCCAAATACCAACGGTTTAACCCCTTCTCCTTCAATCATATTGTCTTGAAGTCAGTATTAAAAACATTCTGACATAGGCATGATAACTCACACAGGGAAAGACGTATGCAAATCATTCCCGAATTTGACCCTGGATTTTCTCAATCTGCGGACAGGCACCTGTGCTTAGTTTCACAATCATGTTTATGAAAAGTGCTGGGTCTCAACTTATCTCTTTCAAGGAGCGTTAAAATCCTTAAAAAGTCATTTTCAAATGATCATAATCTTTGGTAAGCTTCTGATAATCCTATTTAAAGTCCAAGTTTATACTGTCCCTAAATGTCAGAAATCTCTCCTGACACCGCAGACCAGAACTCCGCTGTGGGGCCCAGCGGCGGGGCGCTGGGCTCGGACACTGAGCTGCACCCCAACCTGGAGTCGGGACTCGAGTTGGGCGCAGGGAAGGCGAGCGAACGCAGG